CCCCCAACTGCCCTCCCCTGCCAGCCTAATGGCCCCCAACAGGACTCCCCTGCCAGCCTGATGGCCCCCAACTGCCCTCCCTGCCAGCCTGATGGCCCCCAACTGCCCTCCCTGCCAGCCTGATGGCCCCCAACTGCCCCCCTGCTGGCCTCATGGCCCCTAACCACCTCTGCCTTGGCCCCCACCACCATGGCTTTGTCTGGAAGGAAGTCAGACAGTTGGAAGATGTCCGGTCTCCCGGTCTAATTAGCATATTACCCTTTTATTAGTATAGCTGAGGTTATACTAAACTAGATTGGGCCCTAAATCCAATAATTGGTGTCCTTATAAAAAGAAAAGACTAATAGAGACAGAAAAACAATGACATAGGGAAGAAGGCCATGTGAAGATAGAGGCAGAGATTGGAATAACCAAGGAACACCAGGATTCTGGAGCTACAAGAAGCTAGGAAGAGGCAAGGAAGGATTCTTTTCCAGAGACTTCAGAGGGAGCATGGCCCTGCCAATACTTTGATTTAAGATGTCTAGCTTCCAGTTCTACGAGAGAATAAATTCCTGTTGTTTTCAGCCACCTAGCCCATAGTAATTTGTTACAGCAACCCTAGGAAACTAATACACTGACTATTCCAGCTATCTTAGTGCTGGCACAAGACATATGAATGAAGGAACAATTTTGGACATTTCCTCTCTAGCAAATACCATTTACAGAATAGCCAAGGGTAGACCTATGATCCCAGTAGAATGCAGCCAACCAAGTCGAGGCCCCATTCATGATGGAATAGAGAAAATGGTTCCTGTGGTGTCCCTCAAATTACTGACCCACAGAATCATGGGCATAATAAAATGGTCATTGTTTTATGCCTCTGTTTTGTTGAAAAAAGAAAACTCCACACTTTTTATTTTGAAATAATTTTAAAATTACATAAAAGTTACAAAATAATGTATAGAGCTCCAGTATACTTCTCATCCAGCTTTCCCTAATGTTAGCATCTTGTATAACCATAGTATAATGATCAAAACTAAGAAAGTAACATTGGTATAATACTATTACTTACACTACAGACCTTAAAATTCATCAGTTTTCCCACGAATGTCCTCTTTACTTTCTAGTATCCAATCTAGGATCCCATATTGCATTTAGTGTCCTGTCCTGCTAGTCTTCTGCAGTCGGTGACAGTTCCTCAGTCTTTCCTTGTCTTTACGATCTTGACATGTTTGGAGAGTATTGGTCAGTTATGTTATAAAATATCTTCCAACTTAAAGTTTGTCTGATATTTTCTCTTGATTCGATGGAGGTTATGCATTTTTGGCAAGAATACCCCAGAAGCGATGTATTCTTCTTAGTCTGTCTTAATATTTCTGTCTGCACTGATATTAGTATTTCACTGTTTTTATTATTATAGCTTTGTAATGCATTTTATTAGAGCAAGTATATTGTCTTTTTCAAAAAGTTTTTTTGATAACATGTTTTTCTCTCTCTGAGAGCTGTTCAGCAATGACTACATTATTTAAGAAAAAAGACTGCAAAGCACTTCTGATAAAAACTAGAGGTCCGGTGCACGAATTCATGCATGGGTGGGGTCCCTCGGCCTGGCCAGCAATCGGGGCTGATCAGGGCATCTTGCACAGTCCCAATAGGGATCCCAGCAGCAAGCTAACCTACCAGTTGGAGCGTCTGACCGCTGGTGGTCACTGCGCATCATAACGACTGGTAGATTGGTCAGACACTTAGCATATTAGGCTTTTATATATATAGATGCTTTTTTACTAACTTAAATGTCTAAAGACTTGTATGAGATAATCTGTCTCGAAAGTTAAACTTCTATATTTTCTTTCATGTATGTCTGTA